GGAAAACTTCCTAAATGCTGAACAACTGGCTGGTAGAATACATGCTTTTGACTATGGATACAATCAGCAGCGAAACCGTCCACCTAGAGTAAAGTTGTTTGATGGAAGTAATGATTTGGGGTTGAATGCTATACAGTCTTGGTGCTTATTACGTAATATGCCTTTGCTATTTGGTGATTTAATACAGTCAGATGACCAGCACTGGCATCTTCTACTTTTGCTTCTACACATTGTTAACATTGTATTTTCCCCAGTCCTTACAGAAGGCATGACCATTTACCTCAAACATTTAATCATTGATCATCATCAGCTCTTCAAGCAGTTGTTTCCTGCAATCAATCTCTTACCAAAGCATCACTTCATGATTCATTACCCTCGTAATATAAAAAACATCGGCCCAGTTCTGCACATGTGGTGCATGCGTTATGAAGCTAAACATAATTTTTTTAAGAAGCAATTAAAAAGCTTTAAAAATGTAACAAAAACATTAGCCAAAAAGCACCAAAGTTGTATGGCAATGTATCGAGAGTCCTTTAGCAAGGAAAGATTAACTTTAGGTTCGGGGAAGATGGTAACACTTAGTGAGCTCAAAGAAGGTCCCGAGATTGCTTTAAAATTTGGGTCTGTATTGTCTACCAGTGTGTTTTCTGCCAAGTGGATCAAACATCATGGTACAGAGTACCGCCGTGACTTCATTATCTGTACTGAGGTAGCATTTGAGATGCCTGTATTTTGTAAAATCAAAATTATTGCTGTGAAAGATGACTGTGTATTGCTCTGTGGAAAACTGATGGAAACAGTGTGTTTTGATTACCATTACTATGCCTTTAAGGTCAGGATGCATCCAGACAGGGTTCAAAAGGTGATCAACATTACTGAACTGTGTTACTTTAAACCTTTTGATGTTCAAATGAAGTATGGAACGACAGATTCCTCCTTGTATGTTGTTCCCTATTGCCATTTTATGGAAACCTAAGGTCAATGTTTTAAAAAGGGATTTGTATTCTTAATATATTTTAGCCTGACATAGTTGAGCTGTTAATAAAAATTTGAAATGCATTATTTTGTGGTAAGTTGTGATTTTTACTCACTTAATGGAGTATTTGGTGTAATTTGACACTAAAAAAGTGTAAAATGAATACTGCTGAGATTTATTTCCGTGACACTATACGGTGTTAGAATTTGACTCTATTTGAGCTTGTTTTTCACTGCAAGATAGTCAATTATCAACACAATAGTGTGTAACATCAACACTTATCAGAGTTATTTTAACCTTGAGTGTCAACTCCATGCAGTGTTAAACTGGACTGGAATCAAACTCAATCAGAGTTGATTTGTTATTTTAGAAGAGTAAATGATTAACTCTTCCAAGGGTAATATTTACACTCTCCAGTGTTATTTAACCTTTAGTGTAAAATTAAAATAACACTATTCAGTGTAAGCGAGTGTTAAATTTTTACTCTATTTAGAGTTAATTTAACTCTAAAATGTTAACACTATGAAAAGAGTCAAATTAACACTATTTCAGGGTGGGACCATATACACTCAGAAATAGTGTTAAATTTAACTCTTTAAGTGTTACTTTAACACTTCAAAATTTACTGTGTACCTGCACTCACCTGCGCGGTCTAGACTGCCTTATTAATTACTGTCGGTCACTTTCTCTTGCATAATTCAACAAAGCTTATGATACTGTTGAGTGTTGATCATGCTATTTAATTGAATAAGTTGTCCTCTACAGGCCTGAGCTCTGATGCCTGTTCATGGTTTCATGATTATCTTAGTGACAGAACTCAGGCCATCGTGATTGATGGGATTAAGTCTGAATTTCTTGAAGTACATAAAGGTGTACCACAGGGGTCGATTTTGGGACCGGAATCCCTGTCACTTTGCTGAAATGACGCCCCTGCCTTATTGTGATTGTTTTCAATTAGAATGGTCAAAAAACAACAAAATTGCTTCTTAGCAAAGAGCAATTGCTCAAGCAATAATTTTGCTAAGACTTCTGGGAACTAGCCATTATTGGCAGAGAGGTTTCGAACTCTTTAACTAAAACTCCATCACTCCATCCCATCAAAACATGCTGAAATGTCAAGTGATCTTTCAAATAGCTGACACTAAAAGGGCATTATCATGAATCTCACAGTATTATTCCAACCTTACTGTGTATACAAAACATGACATTGACTAGGTGAATCCAGGTGAAAGCTATGATCCCTTATTGATGTCACTTGTTAAATCCACTTCAAATCAGTGTAGATGAAGGGGAGGAGATTAAAGCCTTGAGACAATTGAGACATGGATTGTGTATGTGTGCCATTCAGAGGCTGAATGGGCAAGACAAAAGATTTAAGTGCCTTTGAACGGGGTATGGTAGTAGGTGCCAGGCGCACCGGTTTGAGTGTGTCAATAACTGCGATGCTGCTGGGTTTTTCCATGCTCAACAGTTTCCCATTTGTATCAAGAATGTTCCACCACCCAAATGACATCCAGCCAACTTGACACAACTGTGGGAAGCATTGGGCCAGCATCCCAGTGGAACGCTTTGACACCTTGTAGAGTCCATGCCCCAACGAATGTTGACTGTTCTGAGGGCAAAAGGGGGTGCAACTCAATATTCAGGTGTTCTTAATGTTTTGTACACTTAGTGTATATAAAACACAGGAAAAATCACATTTTTGACTGCACTGGACCTTTAACCTGTTTTGATTAAGATATTTAATAAAAGGGAATTTCTCCATGTAAAAAGGACCCATGAGCACAAACATGTGAAGTTCATAGGAGCATGTCAAATTGGGTGTCAAATGAAAACTAAGAGTCTATATTTTTGAGAAATTAAGGCATATAGGCCAACACATTAAGTATTTTCCATCCTACAAATTAGTAATAAGCAAAGGTTTACAGAAGTAACAAGTAAAACGTAGACTTACCAATTAGTGTTTTTACTAATATCTATTTGGCTTATTTATTATTAAGTGATTAATACTCCAAATTATGTTACCAAATCGGTAACAGAATTTCTGAAATCACTAACGGAATAACTGCAATTGAATTGGCTACAATGGGAATTCATAGTAGTAACAAGCCACAGTTGGGTCACCTGCTACAGTCCTCCCTTCCACTGGCATTCTGTTATGTTCAGCACATAACTGTTTTATTTCCCATTCTGGCATCTGGTGGTCAAAGCAAGTGTGAAAACAGTCTAGACAACCCCTCCCTCTCCCTCTCTCTCGTTAATGTCACCTCTCCCGCCTCTTATTGACACCTAGCCATGAGTCCCCCTCTCTTTCCATTTACTGTAACAGAGTGGCGCAGTGGTCTAAAGCTGTGCCACTAGAGATCCTGGTTCGAATCCAGGCTCTGTCATAGCTGGCCGCGACCGGGAGACCAATGGGGTGGCGCACAATTGGCCCAGCGTCGTACAGGGTAGGGGAGGGAATGGCCGGCAGGGATGTAGCTCAGTTGGTAGAGCATGGCGTTTGCAACGCCAGGGTTGTGGGTTTGATTCCCACAGGGGGCCAGTATGAAAAAAAGAATAATATATGCACTCACTAACTGTAAGTCGCTCTGGATAAGAGCGTCTGCTAAATGTAAAAAATGTAAATGTAACCAGCATCCTTACCCACTGAGCACCGACCGGCACCAGACGTCCATGGACATTGAAAAGTAGTTGAAATTTGGTCAGTCCACCCTGGCCTTGATTTCAATATCCACAGACAGTTTTTTGGTATGGTCCGGAAAGGCTTTAATTTCAATGTCCACCGACATAGATTTTTGGGCCGGACCAGCCTTGATTTTGCCCAAACATAGACCTGAATGATTGGTTGAGATTTTGTCCAGTCCAAATCTGAACCAATCATAGATGTCTGTTTCACAAGTTTGGAGAGCACAGTAAAAAAAGTTGAGTAGAGTATAGTCCTGTACAGAAGAGTAGAATAGAGTTCAGTACAGTACAGAAGAGCACATGAGTTGAGCACAGTATAATGTACTGTGTTATAATGTACTGAACCGTACTCTACGGAACTCTACTGTTCTGTACTCTACTGAGCTCTGTGCTGTACTTTGATATCCAAACTTGTGAAACATAGACGTCTATGATTGGTCCAGATTTGGTCCGGTCTGGACCAACCAAATGTGGTCTTGTTTGGGGGTAGAGATCATTAAAATAATAGCCAGTGTGTAGAATAATACCCAAATATGCAAAGGAGGATATTGCATGTTTCTACCTTTGTGTACCTATTCAGGCTATATCGCCATGAAGAGAATTGCATTCATATCCATAATTATGCATTTCTGTATAGTACAGATCAGGGACCCATGATGCAATTCCGTTACCAGGTGTAAATCCACATCACTTACTTTAGTTCATTAACCTAAATATATTTTTTCTAAGTCAAGTTGTCACTTCATAGCTGAAACTCCATTCTTTCTGCAGACATCTTTGAATCTTAATTCGGAGCAGATATTTAACAGTGTTTGGAAAATGTGGTTACGTAAAAAACTGAAGCAGAATTGACCAAAATTCTGTTACCGAACTTTGTATCTGCACAGTTCTTCCAGTAAATATGTTTTTGTAAAAATGTCTGTGTAAATTGTTAAAAGTAGTCCTTGTGCATAGAGTTGTATAGTTTGTAAAAATTTTAAAAAAATCAATGGTTTTTGTTTGGCATACATTTTAAAGTGAAAAATCTGTCTCACCATTACCATGGAATTGCCCAAAAACGTATTGAGCAATAATCTCTTTCTCACATGCATATGTTGTGACACATCGTGGTAAAAGTGAACATTTTTACCGCTGTATAAATAAATCTGGTTTATATTACACTATTTAAGGTGAGAGTGAAGTACCTTAAGTAGGTGTATTACACTATTTAGGGTGAGCGGGACATACTTCAAGTAGATGTATTACTATTTAAGGTATGAGCGAAGTATATTAAATAGGGACTTTACTCCATAGGCGGAGCAAAGTATTATGGGTAGGGAAGAGTATTGTAAGTCTGCTAAATGACGTAAATGTATTGAGGGATCCTCACCACAAAAGCAGACAGGTCGGCAGGCAGCAGGCCGTTACAGCGGCTCAAGGCCTCGTCTCCGGGCTGCACCTCCGGGTCCTCCAGCAGGGGGAGCTGTCCTGGGGTCAACACATCGCTCAGCTCCTGGGCGTCCTTGTCTGAGCCCCTCAGCCGGTACACCACCGCGTCCAGCAACCCCTGGGTCGGGATCCCTCTCTGGGAGGCCGAGGGCGGGCCGAAGGCGCTGCGGTACAGGGCCACTGCGTCCGGCCCATTCTGGATGGTGTTGGGGGGCAGGCGAACCGAGGGGGCCGGGACCAGCCTATCACTGCCCACCAGGAAGTAGCCTTGGGCGGTGGTGAAGTGTCCTGTGAGGCTGATCTCACGGTAGGGCTTGCTGTTGTGTCCACTGAACAGGAGGAGCCACACTGCCTGCAGGGAGATGCGGCGGCCCGACGGGTGCCACAGCTCGATGAACTCGCCGTCCTCGGCCGAACCTGGGTTGTCTGCATTTACCTCGCTGATCAGGAAGTCCCCCCGGCCCCAGGGAGGGAGGTGAGGGGGCACCTTCGTACTCCCAGGGACCACTGAAGATGGAAAAAGGGGATTTAGCAAATAGCAACAGTTCAAAACTCACCACTATTGGGATAATTTGGTCACTAGTTATATTAAGTTGCTCTTATACCTGTGTTTGTAAAGACGTTGTTTGATTTGATTTCAACTTGATTACAATTATTCTATTAGACTAATATTGGATTTCATTGGCTGTGATTGATTAGAAGCTAATTGACTCTGACTAGCCTAAGCACCCATGTGTATCACCAATGTAATTGTGTGTGTCAGTGTGATAGAGAAATATGTAACACTCACCAGTGACATGAGGGCAAATCTTTGGCCAGGGGCACTGGTTGGGCTGTCCAGGGGTTTGTGGCGCTTCCCAGAATACACCGGGGTCTCTGGTCCAACTGGCCACACCACAGCGACTGAGGTAGACGCCTCCCTCCCCAAAACTGTGAATGACCAGCAAGGTTAGTACTTCAGCCTTAGATAGAGAGATGAATAGATGGGATGGATGAGTAGATGGATAAATAGATTCAAAGAAGGTTAGATTACCTGGCGCTGAGCTGGTAGGGCCGTCTGCCTGGTATGAGGGTCTCTGTGAGGTTGGCACTGGGTTGGTCCCCTGGTCCAACATACAAGAAGGCGTCTAAGGGTTGCGTCTGGCTCAGGGGGCTGCCCACAGGGAAGTCGGAGGCCTTGCCACTGTACAGCGCCACCGCACCCGACTCATCTCCTGATGAACAACGCAACACAGCAGAACATAAAATCACTCAACACAGTTTTCACACCAATGAACACTTCAATGCAACCCTTTTCTTGCACAGGAAGTGGAACCATTTGCGTAGATATAATTTCACACATACAAAAATACTACAGGCCCAGTTCCTTGACTAAATAGATAGAAATATCTGCAAGGCCTCCCAATGAACAGATCTGAAGAGACTGTAATAAGAGCTCCTCCACGTACAGTTCACTGACCTTTCATGTTGTTCTTGTCAATGGTGATGGAGATCAGGCCTTCCCTTGAGGTGGACACATCCACACTCTCACTGATCGTTTCCGTCCGCCCGTCCATCACCACCAGCACCAGAGGCCCTGCAGCCTGGGACTCAGTTAGCTCCACAAACCCGTCCACCTGCCCCCCTCCCAGCTTCAGCTCGCTGATACGCGGGGTGGCAGCGCTGGAATCAGGGGGTGTGCAGCGGTTGCGTTGGCCAGGTGAAGGCAGGGCCACCTGGAAGCCCCAGCTTTCCCCAGAGACCAGGCACCTCTCGATGGACTCGTCTCCCTCGTGGGCCCACTCATCTTCTACGAAGGCCGGCTCCCCAGGGGTCAACGTCTCGGCCAGCACCTCCGCGCCCCCAGACCGCCGTGTCACGTACACGATGGCATCCACCAGCCCCACGGCGGTGGCGTTCATCTTCTCCCCGTAGCGTGCGGCGGACGTGTGGTAGAGAGCAATGGCGTCCGGGCCGTTCTGGACAGTGTTGGGTGGGAGGGGGATGGCCGGTTTGGGCTGCATGTCCACCGAGCCAACCAGGAAGAAGCCCCGGTCATCTGTGACGTGGCCCTTCAGGTCCAGTACTTTGTAGGCTATATTGCCATTTCCATTGTAGAACACCAGGGTGTAGCCGTCCAGTGAGGCTCTCTGACCGCCGGTGTGATAGAGCTCGACGAACTCAGTGGTGTCCAGTTTGGGGTTGTCTGCGTTAACCTCACTGATGATGAGGCAGTGATCTCCCTTGACTGACGCAACCAGACACACAGACAGACAGACAGCGTATGCTGCGACCACGTGAAGGGCCAGTCTTCCCACCATGGCTTTCTACTTAACCAAAAATGTCAGTGCTAAAATGCATGTAAGGCGGACAGTCTCTGAAAGATGAAGAAAATGAGGAAGAAAATTGAGGCATGAAAACAACTATTGCCTAGAAATCAACAGAAGATAAAAATGGATATCAATTACACTGTCTTCATCACGCAGGACAACCTCTGAACAACATAACTGTTTTGACAAGTACAGGCAGATTGAGGACTAAGCTACTGTGGTGCATGTTGCAATCTAGGCTAGTAGAACCTGACATTTGCCCAAAGGGAGCGTTGAATGAATGAGTCACCAAAACAAGAATATGATCGGGAATGCATGTCTTTGTTTGAGTCACAGTTAGGGTAAATCATGCATTTCTTGAAAATCACATGTAGACTACTAGGAAGTGGGTTTCATCCAAAACAATGTATTGATGTAAACATTTGCAAACTGTGCTTTTTATTTATTTATTCTCAAAAGTGCGAGGGCAGCCTTTTTAAAAATAGCTTCCCTGAACCTTGAATTAACCAATACGTAGCTGTAATCTTCTGTAGGCACCGTTAAAATAAAAATGTGGATAATTCAATTTTGGATCGTTTTTTACCAAACGTATTTCCAGGGAAGCACAACGACGGTGAATATATTGGCTCGAGTACGGTACTCGGTAGGGCATGGAAAACGAAGAAAGTTGCCTACTAAAAAATATTAAAATACCTAACTAGGCTACTCTACGTGCTTTGTAAATATTGGAACTGTATTGAATATCTTCAGTTAAAATCCCATTCAAGACCACAACTTGTTGCATAGAAGAGGCTATTCAAGTCACGGTAAATTATTGCTTCATCTCAGCGACAAAACGGTTGTCATTCGAGTTCATCAGTGCCAAACAGGGTTACAAAGTAGCGACGTGACTTACTGTATTTCAGTGTCCCGTCCGCGACGACGGGATTATCGGAACAATGTTACAATCCAACAGAGAATAAATCCGTTTCTATATTCCGAGAGAGATATTCGGAAACTTTGTTTCAATCGCTGCCGCTCCCAGCGTTGTGTCCTCATTGACAAAGCACTTTCTCCCCCCGCTTTCGAGTGCGTGGGCGGTCGGAGGGGGATGATGCTTGGGTATCCTTCTTGTGCTGCTAACATTCCAGGCCATCCAAATTCAGCCTTGATTTATATGGCCACTTGACCCCTGACTATTCGCAAGGAACGTGTAACACCTTGGCCACACTAGCAAGTTGGCTATTACTAGCTGAAATTAAATGGGGCGGGGTGACCTTTTTATCTAATATGTTCTTGGTTAATGAGCATGAAGAAAAATATTGATCACTTATTGTTAAGGTTCACAATTGGCATTTGTCTCTGAATGTAGGGCCAAGTCTACCACTGACTTTCCACATGTACTTTTTTTCATAGTTGTTTAGACATTATGGCTTCCTGCCATACCAGGCAGTGTCAGAGGAAGGCCCTAAAAATCGTCAAAGTCTCCAGCCACCCTAGTCATAGACTGTTCTCTCTGCAACAGCACAGCAAGCGGTACCGGAGCGCCAAGTCTAGGTCCAAAAAGCTTCTTAACAGCTTCTACCCCCAAGCCATAAGACTCCTGAACAGCTAATTGTGGCTACCCGGACTATTTGCATTTCCTCAATAAGAGCTAGGATATTTGGTTGCAAGGTATCCATTTACAACGGGTATATCAACTGTTAAGTCCTTGCTGTTCCCTACAAGGCTGGGTCTCTGCATCCGGGGTCTTGCTCTCAGTCTGGGTCATGGTTAATGATCTTGGAGTTTTGTGGCAGTGATTTCAGTTTAGAATGTTGAATCCTGCATTCTGCCATTTAAATGAATTGGGATACAACAAGCTTATAGTTTATGAAGTAGGAATGATAGCAAAAAGCTATGTTGAAGCCATCTAAGTTGAGTCAGTCTGCACATGTCAACGTTGGGGTGTTATTTGTAGCTGTGGTCAGTAGTTGTGTGGTCAGTAGTTGTGTTCAGTAGTTGTTTGGTTGTGGTCAGTAGTTGTGGTCAGTAATGGTCAATAGTTGTGTTCAGTAGTTGTGGTCAGTAGGTGTGTGGTTGTAGTTGTGGTCAGTAATTGTGTGGTTGTGGTCAGTAGTTGTGTGGTTTAGTAGTTGTGTGGTCAGTAGTTGTGGGGTGGTGGTCAGTATACAAGCACAGTTTGAATGGCACTTCTAGCTTAAACGGTTGAAGACTAGTAGCGGAGAGCAATTTTCCCATTCAAGTCAATGACACCTGAAATGCATTGGGATTTAGTTGTGTGGTTGTGGTCAGTAGTTGTGTGGTTGTGGTCAGTAGTTGTGTGGTTGTGATCAGTATACAAGCACACTATTCCAAACCGGTAGCGACCAGACTTTTTCCCATTCAAGCTTATGGCACCTGAAATGCATTGGGATTTAGCAAATATGGTTGTAGTGTGAAAAGTATAAGTAGTGTCAAGCAACAGTACCAGTGCCAGTCTGCACGTTTTAAAGTTGTTTTGGTATTGGTAGCTTTAACAGTTCAAGAGCAGTGGCGAATCCAAATACTTCCCATTCAAACCTATGGAGCTTTTATGCTAATTTAAAATGGCTATTGTTCAAAAAGCATACATGGTATCAAAAAGCTGTATACAAGCAACATATTCCAGACCAGTCTGCACATTTTAAGTTTGAATGGCATTTATAGCTTAAACAGTTGAAGACTAGTTCAAGTCTATGGCCATTGCAATGCATATAGATTTATGCATATATAATTGTAGTGTGAAAGTATTAGTATTATCAACATGTTTTTTTCAAACACTGTGGATGGTCATCATGCACGTCTTAAAGTTGTTTTGGTGTTGGTAGCTTTTACAGTTTTGGCGCTACAGGTGGCAGTGGAAGGCAAATAATAAGAATAAGTATGAATAGTTTATAAAGTTGTGCTTTGCTTTCAGCAAGCACATCTAATAAAAAATAATACTTTCTACCAGTTTTTCAATTTACACAGTATGAGCCCCAACTCCCTGCACCAGTGTTTTTGGGCTAAGCCTTTGATTAAGTTTGATTACTATACCCTGTATCCCCCGAGCTACTCCATTTGCAACAACCAATCAGCTCACTGGAACAATTAACACAGTTTAGAATATACTAACTGAAAACTAGTGCATGACAATATTTTTGTCACGTAATTACATGGTATTACATTTTAAAACCACAAGATGGCCCTATATGCACAGTCCTGGTGCATTAGCACAGCAGACCCTACAGTCTCCAGGCATTCTTTTTTTTTAAAGCCTTTGGATTCAAACATTACAACTGAAAAATGTATTGCTTTATAAAGGATTATAATATTTTATTACCAGTCAATTGCTTCTGTTCTCTTTGTGGCTTATTACATGTGTCTTGTGCATACATTTAAATAAGCTTTTGTAGGCATAAGTGATCACCCTAACATGTCAGGTTTTAAAATATTATCTCTTGTATACTGATATCAAAGCCCAATTTCAGCACAAGCCTTCCCCTTTTCAGTTTCCAGACTGTAGCCTCCCTTCACTCCGCTCATATCGACAAACAGTCTACTCAGAGAGTCAATTTAGGTGTCTGACAGACAGGCCTACAACAGGATCCTTTCCCTTCACCCCTGGAGCTATTGTCTGGAAAAGTCAAATGCAGTTTGTCTGCCATTCATTCAAAACACACTCATTAAAGTTTCCTGCCAAGGGAAGACCTCAATAACAAAGATCTGCCCCAGTCCCCCATCACATGACACGTTTAGTTTAGGGCCCAATATGCCAGGTATGGGTAACTGCATATGTGTCCCCTGTAGCTCAGTTGGTAGAGCATGGCGCTTGCAACACCAGGGTTGTGGGTTCGTTTCCCACAGGGGGCCAGTATGGAAATGTATGCACTCACTAACTGTAAGTCGCTCTGGATAAGAGCGTCTGCTAAATGACTAAAATGTAACTGCATACGTGGAGAGTCAGGTTAGCGCCATCTAATTAGTGCATTGTAACCACCAGCTAGCTGGCCAGAGAGAGGGGGCATATCAACATAACCACTCCGAGAATAGAGCGGAAGAGAGAGGAAGTATTGGAAATGAAACTGCAAGTGAGCAATTCCACGGTAACAGAATTATGCTAAGACTCAGATTTTTCACTTTAAGATGTATGCCAAACATAAAACATTGATTGGAAAGTTTAACAAACCATACAACTCTATGCACAAGTACTACTTGCTAGGGCGGCAGGATATAATACCGGAGCCGAAAAGGTGAAAAATCTGTTGATGTGCCCTTGAGCAAGGCACTTAACCCTAATTTGCTCCAGGGGTGCCGTACTACTATGGCTGACCCTGTAAAACAACACATTTTCACTGCACCTATCTGGTGTATGTGACAATAAAACATATTATTTTTACTTTTAACAATTTCCACTGAGAATTTTACAAAAACACATTTACTTGAAGAACTGTGCAAAAGCAAAGTTTGGTAACAGAATTACCGTAAAAAGTTTGGTAACAAGGAGTGACACGGACACTCACTTTTTCACTTTAAAATGTATGCCAAACCAAAAACATTGTTTGCATAAGTCTTAAGGTTACCTAATATAACCCCGGTTCTATGATATTATGAGTGAGGTCTCTCACTATGGGTAGTGTCCCCTTTTAGGGGCGGAGTCTAGGAAGATCCAATCACACAACATCTGTCATAGACAGACAGGAGCAACAGCCAATAGTGGACCACTCCACTTCCCATATAAGGGGCTGTAGCCCGCTCCCATCTTCTAAGTACATGTTTGTCTTCCTTACACAAAGCATGAAGAGTAACGCGGTGACAGACCTCACTCATAATATCATAGAACCTGCGTTACATTAGGTAACCTTAAGTTCTATTTCAATTACTTGTTTGGTCTTTCACTATGGGGATATAGCCAACTCCTGTAGCGCTCATATACTCTCCGAAGCTAAGTCTAGACAGAATAAACCCTCAGAAGCCCTGATGCCTCGATCACACCAACTGCGTCATTGCGC